GGCCGCGAGTACGTCCTCTACTACTTCGGCCAAAAGCTCACGTATCTCCAGCAGAAGGTTCGTGACCAAGCTTTTTGCAGTTATCTCATTGATGTGTGGCCGCAGTCTCTGAACTTTTTTCAGATTGACGACAACTCGAATCGTCTAATCCCGTTCCTGCTGTTCGCCCGAATATTCCCGATCTCCCCGTCATGGTTGCTGAACATCGTTGCGCCGTTTTTGAATATCCCACTGCGGATATTTGCCATTACCGCCTTCTTTGGTTAGTTTTCGACTCGGTATAGCTGCTCTTGGCATAGAACTTCAAGGAGTTCGGGCTATTCTAGGCTTTTTTGTTTTACCGATAACTTCAAGGAGTTCAGGTCATAGTTTTCAAAAATGCCAACATCACTGACTTGAGCTCTTTTGACGTTGCTGAGAACTTCAAGGAGTTCAGATCACACCTTTCAAATATGTAGCCAGTTGAGCGCATTTTACGCTCTCGAGAACTTCAAGTAGGTCAGGCTAGGTGCCATGAAATTTTTAAGGAAATTTTTTCAAAGGAACGCAAAAACTGTAACGCCAACTTCAAGGAGTTCCGACCAGATTTAGTGAAATTGTATTGATTACGATAATTCTTGCAGGTTTGGCACCGTACAACATCATCTGCGTGCAGGCGGGCATCATCTTGGCCGACCTGAAGTCGTGGGACGATATTTTAAGGTGAGAATTTTGTAGGAAATGTTGATTTCGGCTCCTTAAGTACGTCCACGATTCTGAAGCTGTCGGCTTTCGCGCTGATCCCGTTGTTTTGGACGTGTTTCGTGCGGCCGAAGCAGAACAGACATAAGGTGATTTGCACGCAAAAATCTATATGAAATTCGAAAATAGCATCATCAAAAAAAAACCAAAAATATTGTTTTCGGATTTTGATCCGAGTCAGAATTTTATGAATTTTTGATTTTGATGACTTTTTATTTGGCTAACAAGGAGACGTTTTTGAGTGTCGTCGGGGCTTTGGCACGGGACCAAGCCTATATTGTGCAGAATTTTACGCTGATTCCGAATATGTTAACCGTTTTTGCGGAATCGCCATTTCTCGAAAGTTATGAATGATTTAAACCTCAAAACAGCCCAAAATCGGCTACTTTCGATAGTCATAAAAGGCTTCGGATTAGGTTTTAGACAAAACCAGATAGTACATCATGTTCAGAAAAAAATTCTCTATAAAATGTACCATCTTTTCCAAAATCATTCAAAAATTGGAAAAATTTGATAAATTGGGGTCCATCATAATTTTACAAAAATTTTCAAAATTCCAGCATTTTTGAGTTAAGTAGCTTATTTTATAGCGAATTTTTTTCTGAACAAGATGCACTATCAAGTATAGTCTAAAACCTATTCCGAAGCGTTTTATGACTATCGAAAGTAGCCGTTTTTGGGCTGTTTTGGGGTTTAAATCATTCATAACCTAGGAGAAATGGCGATTCCGCAAAAACGGTTAACATATTCGGAATCAGCGTAAAATTCTGCACAAGATAGGTTTGGTCCGGTGCCAAAGTCCCGACGACACTCAAAAACGGCTCCTTGTAAGAGTCGATGAATTTGATGATCATAGAAGATGCAAATTTTTTTGCAGCTCATCCAAGCCATCGCCCAGGAGAAGCCGCGTCACATGGAGATCGTCTAATCACCAAAACCTCTTCCAAATTCCCCTGAACTTGCTCAACTCGTCCCCCCCCACGAGATTTACCCCTCAGAACGATTTTCGACGCTTCTGGTACGATATAGAGTGCTACTAATTCTCCTTCAAATCCTTTCCTTAGCTTGGGTTTTTATGGTAATTTATATTGCTCACCGCCAGGACAGTACTATGACCAAATTCTCCTTTTTGAAAATTTGAATTTTGCCGAACCGGTTTTGCAAACTCACTTATCCTCGTGTCCCCGCCCTCAAAAATCGTTGCTACAAATTCGCGCGTACTGGTTGCAGATCGTATCCATTTTGTGGCCTTTTCCTTTTAAAACAATCGATTTTTTTTCAAGGCATAATATAGCCGGGTGGTCACTTGGGGGCCTCAAATTCAGCCGATCAAAATCCGATTCCCAAGTTGCCACCAATTTTGTCCTTCAAAGTATTGCATATCCTGGTGCTCAGTGTTCCAAATGTCGAAAGCAAAAAAAAAACACAAGAAAAAACTGTCAAAGCCGTGTGTTTTCCGTTGAAAAATTATAAAAATAACAAAATGTATGAATGACGTATGTATGTGCAGATGCAAATAAAGGAATTGAATCCATATCCTTCTGTGGGATATAACGGCATTTTACACTGTCTACACCTAAAACGTCAAGACGAACAAGGTCAGAGAGTACACTTTTATCTAAATTTAATTCGAACAGCTTTTGAGATTTTCTTCGAGCCAGGGATGGACCGAAGGAGGGAGCCATACTTTTCCTCTGCGTCTCTGACCTCGTCAATAAATTGCGTAAAGGAAAAGGCCGGCGATCTGCACAAAACACAAAAAGGGAATTTCATCTCGCATTGAATAGTCCGGGCTTACATTAAATTTTCTAAAATCATCCTCCACTAAAAATATTTATCGTTTTCTCTGCTTGATATTTTTATGGCTCTTTTGAACCGGCATGGAAACTGAAGCTTCTTGGAACCTAGATGGCTGCAGCGAAATCGGCAGATCTGCGATTTTTTAGGCAAAAAGAATTTAGCTAAAATGATTTTTAGGAAAATAAACGAAATTCGAATGTTTCCTCCTTAATAATTACTTGCCAAATTTCGTTATGTCATCTCATGTCAAAAACCGACTTTTAAAAATTGGCCCAATGCTATTCTGGACATTTCTTTTTTCAGCCATACAACTGAAGAATTGGAATTTGTTAAAGCCCACTATCCTTGCCGCCCATTAATGCGCATATGTTTGAATAGTTGTGGCAATCTAATCGATACGTCTCTGCTGTCCTGAAAATTCGTTCCAGACGCGTGTGAAAGTATTGCCCTGCTGGCCAACAAGCTATCCGCTAAAATTGCCTTCTGACGCTTTTCGGATTCAGCGTATTCTAGGATACCGTGTGCAACTTTCAGATAGACAACATGGTTCAAGAAACCGAAGAAATAGCTGAAAAGATGCCTGCACTCAGGCTTGATCTCGAGCCAAGCCTGAGTCTTTCGAATAGTGTAAGTCTTTAAATGACGTCCTCGTAAATTATTTTCATAATATCCAATTGTTGATAGAGTTACGGCAAAGCATTTATTTCTAAAAAAATTACGAATACGAATATTCGTATCATAATTGATTTTCATACAAATACAAACGTGCCGATATCGAACGCGATGAATTTTATCCGAAAAACTGACTTTCCATGTTAAAGATTTGGTTAATTTAAGTTAAACCTTCCCCGCCATTTGCAAAATCTGGATTAACGAATCCAGGATATCGAATTGATAACGCGAAAAAACGCACTATTTTCAGACAACATCCCTCGAACACCTCCCCGCCGAAATCCACGAGCGAATCCTGTTCTACGTCGGCGCGTTCAGTCCCAAAAACCGATTCCGGTACGCGAAGACGTGCAGACGGATCTGGGAGCTGACTCCGACCGTCCACGCTAACATGAAATTGACGAGGGTGACGAGAACCCCGTTGAATTTCCTGAGCCAAGAGACACGACGAAGAGCTCCAATTCACGATATTTCTAGCCGAACCACTCAAGAATTGCTGTTCTCGAATGCTACTGTCGAGCGGGTGTTCGTCGGGATGCCAAATTTTTGGCTGCCCGGGCTGAAAACAAAGTATCTACAGCTCTGCGGGCCCATGGAAAACGTGGAAGAATTGTACGAAGCGATGATGCCGGATGGCGGTTATGATAGTTTAATAATCTCCAACGCACAATGTTGCGTAGGAATGGAAGAAAGGATAAAGGCTACCACAAATTTCCTTGGAATCACCGACGAGCCAAATATCATGGATTGTCTGAGATTTAACTTGCCGAGGATGTCGTTCTACTCTTCGACGCTGCAACTCGCCCAACTTCGCGAGTACATGCAGCGGGTTGTGGAGGAGTGGAAGGCGGGAAGAAGGGAGGTGGAGACGATCGAGATCCGATTTCGGCCCCTTGAGCATGAAGCTGCTGATCAACGAACGCAACAGCACCAACGGCGCGATGGCGTCCGACTTGCGCTTTTTATTGGCGGGATTCAGGCGCAGATTCGTGGTTATGTGCCGCCAGGATAATTTTAATGTTGTATATTATGGGGGAATGTGATAAATAATTTATTCAGCTATTTAATTACATTGTGATTTGCACAATCAAGCATTAAAATAGTCAAATTGTAAAAATTAATATAGCCTATTTAACTTGCTGAACCCAAAAATAGCTAAAAATCCTCCGGATAATTTCAATTTTGTATTTAATGGGGAAAGATAAAAAATGGTTTATTCAGCTATTTAATCACATTGTAATTTACATAAGAATACTTAAAAATATTCAAAGCTACCACGAATTCCTTGCTTAGACTTCGAAAAATAGCTTATTAACAAAATCGAAAAATTGTACGTAATCTAATTTCCCTTCCTCCGATTTTCTATTTTATATACTTCTGTTTCAGGTTTTCTATCCCATAGCGAACTTTAACCTAAACCTATGCTTAAATCTTCGGCTTCCAAAAAGCAAAAAAAATTATATTTAATTAAATTTTAAAATTACAATTAGAACCTCCTAGAAATCTTCCAACTACAAAGTTTTGTAAAATTATCTGTTGCGATTAACGCGCCATAATTTCATCAAACCCTATTCAAACCTTGCCACAAATATTTAGCATTTTTTAAGCGCAAACTGCTGTTTCTTTTTGAACAATATAAAAAGTTGTAAACAGGAACCAAAATTCCATCAAGACCAGCGCGTGCAGGCGGCTGTTCCAGAGAAATGGCCTTGATGCCCTGAAAAAGCCAGGTTCTCTCGGTGCATGGATGTTCATTTTACGCCTGGGTCCGCGTTCACTTCCTCAAAATGATCCCCAGGGTGGCGGTGATTTTATTGTTGGCTTATGTTGGGCCTACACTACAAGCCGGACGTTGTGGCGTCCAGCAATATGTAGGTATTCGAAGTTTCCATCTGTCTCGCTCTCTCTCTCTCTCTCTCTCTCTCTCTCTCTCTCTCTCTCTCTTACTCTCTCTCTCTCTCCCTCTCTCTGCCTCCATTTCTCGGATCACAGCTTAATCTCCTCTTTTAGCAAAAATGCCTCATCAGTGACCCAAGCCAATTCGGAGAAACGCTTGAGGAGGTGACTCAGAAACATTGCGAGTAGGTTTCTGTGATAAAAAGTATAGAAAGATTCCACAAAACTCTTCAGAAACACAAAGACAACCCTCGAAAAATGTGCACCATGTGCTCTGGGTTTGGCCAAGTTCCGAGCCGAAGCTTTTTGCGATGGTAAAAAATTGCGAGATGGTGGGTTAAATCTAACAAAAGAGAGGGAGAGAAAGAGAGAGATATAGAGAGAGACTTCGAAAGCCTAATTCTAGGTAAAGACTTCGACAAGCAGGTTGAAAAATGCCACGAGCATCACGATACGAAGATCGAGGAGGACAAGGCAACATGTCAGGCAATGTACCCGCCTGAGCAGCGCGAGAATCCGCAGATGGATTGCAAGTTTGTTCTTTAAGAAAGCACGGCCGATCACCTATATTACTTACGGTATTACCTGATCGCGCTTAAATGTCAACCTTTAGAATCTGGCCGAAATTCGTTGACTGTATTATCACAAAAAGGCTGGCAATCCGCGGGGACTGTGGCAAAATTCTGGCGGCCATGTGGTACGAGTCGCTCTTCACGAATGTAAGTTCTAAAATTGGGATCAAGTTTTATCTAGGTTAGAAAAAATCCGTATGTCAGAAATATACTCATTTTTCTAGGTCATGATGGGTTTCATCTCATTGTCTGAGGACACCCCAATTTGCGACACCTTCTTGGACACGCTGCTCGAAAAAGCTGAACGATACAAACGATATGATGGCGAAGTAGTGGAATTGGCATAGCGATCACTGGGGTTGTCGTTGAATCAATTGTATTAAAAATAAACTGGCAAAATTCCTCCTCTTTGCTGATTCTTCCTTTTAGCATGGACCGGCGCAAAAACGATCAATCATCAATTTCGGGTACCCAAAGTTGCAGACCACATTTTTCAAAAAAAAATTCTGAGTCCGAGAGAACCGCCGTTTTGATATCGTTGACTTATCCCGGGCTTACTACGAGATTTTCCTCCGGCGTTCTGCTCATACTTCTCAAATGATTCTTCCATTTCTGAGCATCATATTTGATTTTGGAATTGCTAGCGCGGGCTGGGAGTTACAGTAGCGGACAAAAGTATTGGGATTTTTTTATTTTTGACAAAATCTCGGGAGATTTAACACGAGGTGAGCTCAAAAGTTGGTCCCTAGTAGAATTCAAGATGCTTTTTCAAATGCAATGCGTTAAAACCGGTCACTCCATAGTACAAGAAAATTAGGTGAAAATTTCAAAAAGCTCGACGACAAAAGTATTGGGATTTTTCGTTCTGAAGCCTAGAAAATCAGCAGGTAACCTTGCAGAGCTCTTTTATTGATGCAAAAGCGCCAAATACAGTTGAAATTTGCTTTTCTCATAGGCGATTCAATCCCGGAAACGCTGAGGAATTTTTTGAAAATCTCGATTTTACTATGAAAATTTGCTTTTTTGCCTCTAACTCTTTGAATATAGTTTTAATGCCGGTTTGCTCTATATATTCGGAGAGAGCACTTCAGGGCGATCATTTTCGTATATGCATGTCCATAGTTTTTCGCCATGCCCCGGCAGATAGAGAAGGCCCAGTTCTGTGCACCGGGGTTTGGTCCTTTCCATAGATAGGGCCCCCATTTTGCTACGGACGCCGCCGACTGAAAGATTAGGCCCTAAGTAACTCTGTGAGGAGCGTGTTTCCTAGTGACTATAGCATATCGAAATGCTCGTCTTAAGCTGCTCTATCCGAATTTATAGAGCAAACCGGCATTAAAACTATATTCAAAGAGTTAGAGGGAAAAAAGCAAATTTTCATAGTAAAATCGAGATTTTCAAAAAAATTCCTCAGCGTTTCCGGGATTGAATCACTTATGAGAAAAGCAAATTTCAACTGTAGTTGGCCCCTTTGCATCAATGAAAGAGCTCTACCAGGCTACCTGCTCATTTTCTAGGCTTCAGAACGAAAAATCCCAATACTTTTGTCGTCGAGCTTTTTGAAATTTTCTCCTAATTTTCTTGTACTATGGAGTGACCGGTTTTAACATATTGCATTTGAAAAAGCATCTTGAATTCTACTAGGGACCAACTTTTGAGCTCACCTCGTGTTAAATCTCTCGAGATTTTGTCAAAAATAAAAAATCCCAATACTTTTATCCGCTACTGTAAAGTGCGATCCGCATGAATTTGTATGTCAGTTCTCACATGAGTTAGAGTAACCAAATTTAGCGCAGTTGCTTGTATGATAAAGAGTTTGCGGATAAAGAGAGACGTGCAAAACGAGTGGGAAGGCCTTGGAAAACTTTATTGCCAGTAAGCTCGTTCTCATTCTCTCAAGCTCAAGCTTCTCAAAAATTGAACTGGAAAAACTTTTCTGACGTTTCTATTTATTGCGCCTACTAGTCCATTTTAGCAGCCAAAGTTAGAGCTTACTTTATCCATGCCTAAATGACCTTAGGGGTCGATACCTACACCTTTCCGTTACTCGACAATTTTCCGACCAGACTTTTCACAGATCCTGGCCCTTGGTACCAGACTGACTTGATGAAACGTGCGAGACGTTTCTCGATATCCCGATGGAAAGGCTGATAACACTAAATCAGAATAATACTTCTGAAGATATGTAAATAAAGCTTAATATCGTAATGCTGATGCCAAAGTTGTGAAGTATTGTTTTGTAGATAGAGAACCAGTTCCGAGAGAGAGAGTGAGAGAAAGAGAGAGAGAGAAAGAGAGAGAGAGTAGAGAAATAGCGACAGAAACAGAAACAGAGTAACTGTTTTTCTTGCTCCTGTTAGCAATCAGCAATTCTCAACGCATCGCTCGATCACATTTTTCATAATCTCGAAAACCTAGGGTCGACCTTGACTCGGCCCGATAAATGTGTCTTCCTATCGTTTGCCGGCCACTTTCCGAGATACTCCGATGATATTTCGATCTCTTGCAGTTTTCCTGGTATTGTCAGTCTCGAGAGGATTGACCCTACAATGCGACCTTAACGAATTTGTAAGCTATTTTATAAACTTACTAAAATTCACCAATTTGTAGAATAAATGTCTTTACAAGGAGCAATTTGCATACCTCGACAGTGACAGCAGTCTGGACCGATTTGGGAAGCTGAATTGCCAGTAAGGGTTTTATTTAAATAATTTCTTTCGTCTTTAGGCCTGTTACCATAGCGCTTCTTTTCAGATTCTGGCCTGACAGCGCGGCCAATTGCTCGGAATGCGTGAAAGCATACGCAAATTATCGTCAGGAAAAATTTTGCAATGGCCGAGAATTCGTGGAGAAGAAGGGTAACTTGGAATTAAAAAAAACTATGCAAAAGTAAAAAAATGGTATAAAAAATACAGATCAATTCGAATTACAGCAAACGACGCCGAAAACGTCTATCAGCAATGCAAGTCCAGTAACCGGCCCGCGATTGATGCCGCGGATTTAAAGTGCATCATGCAGGTTCCAGATTAGCAGCGGAATCAACTCCAGAATAACTGCGGGTGGGTTTGAAGGGGTTTCCCTCTTTCTATCTCTTTCTCTCTCTCTCTCTCTCGCTCCCACGCTCTCTATCTCTCTCGCTCTCTCTCTCTCGTTATAAACTATCGTTTTCTAGAGCCTTCCAAACATTCGTCGACTGTAGCGTGGCGGAACGTTCGAAACTTTCAAATGATTGCGGAAAAGATATGGCAATTCTTGCGATAGAAGATCTTCTCGGATCGGTACAACCATTAAGTATTTTGCAGTTTCCAGCTTTAGGTGACGTCAAGTGAGGCATGGTATCCACCACCAGTTAGCGCATGCCCAAAATTTGCCGAAATTCTGATGGAGCATCTGGTTAGGCTGATAAGGGCTTGAGGATTATATACATAAAAAGTCGGATAATAAAAAAAAGGATCGGTAGTGCTTAAGAAAGGCGAGAAGAAAGAGTGCGACAGAGAGAGAGAGCGAGAGAGAGAGAGAGAGAGAGAGAGAGAGAGAGAGAGATCAGAGCTAGTTACCGCGAGAGCGAGAGATAGCGAGAAAGAGGTATACACCGAGTGAGAGCTGGAGAGAGAGATAGAGCTAAAGCGAGAGCGAGAGAGAGAGAGAGAGAGAGAGAGAGAGAGAGAGAGAGAGAGAGAGAGAGAGAGAGAGAAAAGAAGAGAGAGAAAGACAGAGCCAGAAAGAGAGACATCCAGACCAGACCCTTTATTCAGTAGTGAAAAAAATAAACACAGAATATGACAAAAAAAGTGAGGCGTTTCGGTCATTTCATAGGGGTTTTTGCTCTCCATCAGGTTTATCGGTTGCGGTGACGATAGATTCTGCACTCCTCGCGGTCCGGGTTCATCGTCGCGTTCAGCTGGAAAAGACAAGGAGAAATGAAAACAAGCTTCCATGAAAAACGCAAAAAAACCAGTAGTTTGACCTTGCACTGGAAAGCGACGGCGAACGGCTCAAAGTTCTTGAGCTCCTCGTTGACGCGGACGCTGTTCTCGGGGTGGACGCTGGAGTGGCGAACACTAGCTTGACGATAATTCTCTGACTTACTCGTTGAACTTCCAGCCGTCAGCGGGAGAGTAGAGCGTCGGCTGTCGGCCACAGTACATCTGGAAAGAAAATGAAATTCACGGGAGAATAGGTCAAGGGCGTTAAAAATATAGAGCTGGTCGATACCTGGGTGTGGGCCAGGAAGAAGAGCTGATCGTTGGTGAACTGCTTCAGCCCGGGCAACTTCGGTGGGTTGCGGCCGTAGAGCTTCCGGCGTGTCTCAAGGTACGCCTGGAAATTTGGATTTAAAGGGACTTCCGAGGGCTAGAATTTGGGAGAGTAAAAATTCGGCATAGCGAATGGAACTCGGTGTAAACGCACCCTAAGCCTTCCAAAGCTATAAAAAACCACCGTACCCTCCACGCCACGCGCAGCCCATTATTATCCGAGATCGTCTCCGGCTTCTGCGAATAGCCATCCACCTAAAGCCACTGACTTCTCGCCCCGGTATCAGAGCGTACACCACCTGCAACGTGACATTGAGCCGAGGGTTCGTGTAGTTGACGTCGAACTGGTCGACGAGGCATTGCTGCTTGACGAGGAACTCGGTGGTGTCGTTGCCCGGGTTCCCGTCGGGGAGGTCGGCTAAAAAGTGGGTTTTAATCGCGTTACAGAGTTAGAGTTCGAAATTTACTGGCATTATCGAACGAGTGAGTAAGCTCGTGCGCCATCACAAAGCCGATGCCCGCGTAGTTGAACTCGATCGGCCAGGTGGCGTCGAAGAAGGGCTGGGTGATGATGCCGAGGGGGATGACTGCACATTCAAATTACCCTCTTTAGCTTGACACCCACCAATCTGCTCACCGCGGCGGTTGAACGCATTGATGAAGAGCGGCTCCTCCATGCCGAGATCACCGTTTAGTTTCTGGTTTCGGCATTATTTTCCAAACTTCGAACATCGTACCAAATCAAAAACCAGCCACTCGGCTCGCTCCTCAAATTGCATGAGCTCCAGGTGGTTCCATTTGGCGGGGATTTGGAGCTGAACAGGGTTAAGTTGCGCTTAGTGTTAACCCACATTCTCGTACAAGGCATCGACCTGCTCGGCGTCGACGGCGTTTTGATTGTAGCCGTATTTGACGTCGATTTGGTCCAGCTATAAGGGAAGAATTTTTTAACAAAGGCGCCAACCTTTTTCTTGACAAACGCCTTCGACTCGTCGCTCAGCCAGGTGTTCTCGTCAAAAAGCGTGTGGAACATGCTTCGCATCTCGTCGCCGAGCCTCTGGGGTTGTGTCGAATTTTGACAATCTGACTGACACTAACCCTAACTTCTTCTACATCAGATTTTGGCCGTATTGTGTCGATGGCGAGGTGTTCGGTGAGTTTGGAAAAGTGGTTGAGCACCTGACAAGGTATATCGATGTTAAGGCTCGTCTAATCCATAAGGATGACAACAGAATCCATAGGAAAAATGCCTTGCCCATCCCTTTAAAGCGCCTTTAATCTCTTTTTCGCCCGGGTAGACGTCACCAACCCTTTCCTTGCAGTCATCCCCCCGCTCCTTCCGCTTCGGCTCCAGGTCCTTGGCCCAGTTCATGAACAGGAAATTCTGGACGACATGCCGCGGGGTGTCGAGCAGGACTTTTGAGAGCTGAAAACGACGCGGTCAATATGTTCATATCATTTCCAGCATCATCGGAAACACGCTGACCTTCTCCAAGTTCTTCAGCGGCGCGTGTAGGCGAACTGACGTCTGGCTATCGATGCGGTCACGCACCACTTTCGGTAGATGGGAACCGATAAAGTGTAGCCAGTCGTACTGCAAAAAAGATGAGTCGTATTAAAAGGATCTGGTAGGGACGGCCATGGGTCTTTGGGCGCCCGCAACACGCGCCGCGCGAAACCCCGCGAAGCGACCTGGTGGTGAGGATCAATAAAAAACCTATTGGAGGAAAATTCATATTTTTACCTTGCCCACCCTTTTAAAAGAAGTAATTTTCAAACCAACCGCCGGCGCCGCCTTCTGCAACTCCTCGATCGTGAACCGACTGAACGCGGTGGGCATTGGGATGAGTTTCTTTTGGTTTTCGTAGGCCTAAAACAAACATGAACATCTACTTTTCTCAAGGAATGTCGACCTCTCCCAGTGTGTCGTAAAACTTGACGAGCTCGTTCACCTTCTCCTGGCGCCCATGTTCGGGGATCTTTACGCCAAGTGCTTCGACTCTCGCGAAGATCTGAAAATTGTCGCAACAAAAGCTATGTCCTAAAGAATCAGTGCCAGCTCGCCTACCTTTTCGATTTTCGTGCCCAGCTCCTGGGCGTCAGCGGCAAGGGCGTGGAGCCCTTCATCAAACATGAAATGCTCCGGGCTGTTGAACCATATCTAGGTACCAAAAATCTACATTTGAAACTTTCCATCTACCGTAATATCCGGGACCAACGTCGCCTGGATACCGATGAACGTGTTGTGGACGTGGAAGTAGCTGTCGCCGCCCTGGTAATCGTACAGGGTGGCCAAGCGGATCGAGTCGGTCAGGCTCGGCATTTTCTAGAGGGATTTTTGGTTGAGATATCTGTATTTTCGGACCATTCCCGGCTCCAGTTTCTGATCTATGAGTCGCAGTTCGCCAAACTTCTTGATGTACTCGCGAAAATCGGTGTTGAACTTTCGGGTTCCCAACGCCCGGCAGGCTTCATAGAAGGATTTTGCTTTTTCAACGGACGACATGGTCGAGTTGCTGGTGAGGATGAGATCTGGAAAAGGTAGTTTCCATTGTGCTCGACCTTTCGCTCTCGCCCGCTCTCTCTCTCTCTCTCTCTCTCTCTCTCTCTCTCTCTCCCTCTCTCCTTCTCATAGCTTTTGGCTCACCCAATTGTTGCTGCCGCAGCACCCCTTCCGTCCTGTCCCACAGATTTATGGCGTTTTTCTAAAAAAGTTTTTAATTTGTCAAAATACTTTCTCCACCTGATTATATTTTCCACATGCATATTCGTGGAAATTCTCGCACGGGTCCACCGTCGGATCCATGTTATGGATCTAAAAATCAAATAAACTTTTTTGCCCTGTAGCAACTCACCACCAGGCCGGCCGCCTCCGTACAGCCCATCGTCGTGCACAGGTTTTCGTTCTAAAAAAAAGGAATGTGAATTTTGGGATATTTTTAGGAGGCCGTGACAGTAAAGCAATTTCAAGGCCCACTGAGCCTTGGTCGATCCCAGGCGGGGCGCGGGGGTCCAATTTTTGCTGGGCCGAGGCCACGTTCGGCTCGAAATGGACTGAAAAATTTATCATACGTTTTTTAGAGACCCTGACCCGCCAACAAGATCAGCGCCAACACGCCGAGGCCGACGAAGAACGTCCAGCGGCAAGCATCGTTGCCTTGATTTGCATAAATACATCTCTATTTCGTTCTACCTCTTTCCCGGGTATCAGATGTAGCCTCCATTCTGGAAGGCGAAGAAGCCAGAAATCGCGATTGTCTCGAATTTTTTCAACGCGTTTATGAAAATTTAAACATGCAGGTTTATGTAAATCACTGGACTGTTAGTGGATGATCTTACCGGATGTGGAAAAGAGCCCAAGCCCATGCCTAGCGTTAAATTTTGAGCGTTTTGAGCGTATTTTGTAGTGTTTTCAATGGGTTTAAATCTTGATGAACAAGTAAAAAACCGGAAAAATTTGGCATTTTCGGCAAGTACAAAATAGCAAATTCTTCGCAATTTTAGCACAGCATTGTTTATTCCGGCAAATCAGATACAAAGTGATACAACGGGGTGTGTTCATTGCTTGCGCGTAGTGAGGGCTAGATGCTTCTCAGGGGCCACATCATCTTATTTGACGGTGGTTTCAGTGGTAGTAGCGCCACACCCTGCACTTCCTCTCCGGGTTCATCTTCGAGTTCAACTGAAAGACAGGTGTTTATCTCTCTCTCCTCTCTCTCTCTATCAATCTCCCTCTCTCTCTGGCTCACCTTGCACTTGAAAGTGGTGGCGAAACTGTTGAAGTTCTTCAGCTTCTCATTGATGCGAACGTCGCCAACCGGGTGGAACCTAAATTCTTGTTGGGAAGCCCTGGCCTTTCCACGAACTCGCCAACCCAGTCGTGATCCTGATTTGGGTAGATGCGTGGCTGGCGTCCGCATTCGATCTAAAAAAGGTAATTATATTTTTAGATGCTTACCTGGCTATGGGCCAAGAAGAAGAGTTGCTCGTTGGTGAATTCTTGGAGTCCGGGAAGTTTCGGCGGGTTGCGGCCGTAGAGATGTTTGCGTTTTTCGAGGTACGCCTAGAAATGAGCAGTTAAACAAGAGAGAGAGAGAGAGAGAGAGAGAGAGAGAGAGAGAGAGAGAAAGAGAAAGAGAGAGAGAGAGAGCGTGAGTGAGTGATCACGACATTAAAACCCTACCCGCCAAGCCACACGGAGCCCATTATTGTCCGCGATCGTCTCCTTGTGCTGAACATTGCCATCGGCCTGTAAACATCGACTCCTATTTTTGCCCGTGGCCGCTGACCTTGACGGTGATGTTCAGACGATCATTCCCGTAGATGACACCTCCGAATTGATCGACAAAGCACTTCTCCTTCTCCAGATACTCGTCCGTGTCGTTGCCCACATTCCCGTCCGGTAGATCATCTACAAGCTTGGCTTTTTCAGGTCCAAAAAATTACCTTGATCATCAAAAGTGTGCGTAAATTCATGGCCGATCACTTCGCCGACGCCACCGTAGTTGAACTCGAGCGGCCAGGTCGGGTTGTAGAACGGCTGGGTGATGAGGGCGAGTGGGATGGCTGAGAATTAACTACTTAACAACCGGGCACCTTCCCCCACTAATTTTCACATCATTGGAGTTGAACGCATTGAACTCCATGGCCGGCTCGTACCCCAAGGTGCCCATCAAATTCTGCGTGCCATGAATTATAGACGCGCCTGAACGTCTACCAGCCGGGTAACGAACCACGAGCCGCGTTCCTCGAATTGCCACATCTCCATCAGGCCCCACTTGTCGGGCAGGATCAGCTGAAGGTAGTTGAGGGGAAGGTATCAGACAGCACCCACCGCCTCGTAGAAGCCGTCAATCTTGGCCTTGTCCAGCGCATGGGTGCTGAAGCCGTAGTGCTCCTTGACGTTGTCGAGCTGGAACCATAAATTTGATGTCGAAAAGCCTTCCGATACCCTCTTGTGCAGCACGGCCTTCGTCTCCGGCTCCAGCCACGTGTTCTCGTCGAAAATCTGGTGGAAAACACGGCGCATCTCCTTGCCGAGGTTCTGGATTTTTTTCAGAACTAAATTTTAAATTTCAGGCCAACCTTTACGTCCTCAACATCACTCTCGAACCGAATGGTGCCGATGGCGAGGTGTTCGGCAAGTTTTCGGAAGGTGTAGAGGAGCTGGAATAAGTGGAAACTTCGGGAGTTTCAGTCTCTCTTCGCTGTATCTCTCTCGCGTTCTACTTGATCTCTCTTTCTCTTACCCTGCTTTTGCAGGCCATTTTGCCACGATTCTCAAAGCGATCCCTCAAATGCCGGGCCCAGTTCAGGAAGAAGAAATTCTGGACGACATGCCGCGGCGTCTCGAGCAGGACTTCCGAAAGCTAAATCGCCTTTGATAAGTTTAAGACTCGAAATCATTACCCCTCTGATACTCTGCATATTCATCACCGCCAGCTCCGTCTCGCCGTTCATCTCCTGGCGTCGATGCGGTAAGTACGAGCCGAGCAAGCGCAGCCAATCAAACTGTAGATGGAGATGAAGCTGAAGATGAAGCTCTTTTAGATTCCCACCGCCGGCGCCGCTTTTTGCAGCTCGCCTATCGTCGACCGGTCGTTGCTGTATTTCCAGCCCTGGTGCAGCTGAAAAAACCCCCTTGATTATCGATGGCATCCCTTCCAAACCTTGACAATCTTCATGTAGAACGTGACCAGCCCGTCGACGTTCTCCTTGCGCCCCTCTTTGCCGACGGTGAAACCTAACGCTTCGACTGCCGCGACGGCCTAAATCCGTGGTCTTGGGGAAGTACAAAAGCCGCGGTACCTCCTCGACCCTGTCACGAACTGTGGATTCCAGGATGACCTTGACGAAGCTTCGGCTGAAGTCGAACAGCACGACGCCGGGTTGGTTGAGTTGGACCTGAAGAGAGGTTAGCGTAAAACTTAGAAGCCTAAGCTAATCCAGAGCTGGGCCTGAATTAAGCTTAAGCGAAGCCCAAGCCAATCCCAAGCTAAGCTTAAACCTGGCGGAATTTCAGCAAATCCTAAGATTGAGTGAGGCTCGACTGAACTCAGGTCTAGTCAGAGCTAAGCCTAATAAGCTAAGGCTGGGCTTATCTGAAGCTAAACCTAAGCAGCCTAATAAGTTAAGCCCAAGCTTAGGGCTACGCCAAGGCTAAGCCCAAGCCCAAACCAAAGCCTACGCTGGCCCACCAAAAGAAACTCCTCGATGTTGGCGTTGATGGAGAAGAAGGCGTTGTCGTTACGAGTGTCGCGACTGTTGTATTGGTAATAGTGCAGGGTGGACATGAGGGCCGTGTCGGTGATGCTGGGCATCTCCTAAGAAGGTTTTTTTTGCGGCGAAATCCCATAAAAAGTACCATTCCCGCTTCCAGTTTCTGATCAATCAAGCGCAGCTCGCCAAATTTTTTGACGTATTTGTGGAGTTCGGCGGTGAAATTTGCGTTTTTGAGCATCTCGCAGTTCTCGTGGAAGGTGCGGGCTTTTTCGACGGCTCGCATGCCGGATTTGTCGTTGAGGATCAGTTCTGAAAATGGCAAAATGGAGATTAAATTAGGTACTTATCCGTTATTGGGGGGTGGCAACCCTTTCCTGTAGTATCTAATACTGTCACCACCCCTTTAGTCCAACAAGTCCGAGAAAATACCTAGCAACTGCTGCACCAACTTCCGACGACTCCCCTGCCAAACATTATAGTCGTGTTGCTAAAGCATGTTCAAAAGGTTCAAGCGGTCTTCACATCATTGTATTTGCCGCAGGCGAACTCGTGGAAGTTCTCGCACGGATCGACGGCTGGGTTCATTTTGCTGATCTAAAAAAGTCATAATCAAATTTGAGCTGATCTGACAATAGAAGCAGCGGCTTCCGTACATCCCTTCGTCGTGCACAGGTTGTCATACTAAAAATCAGATGAAATCTTGAAAACACGAGTTAATTGATACCGCGCCCGTGTCAACCTTTGGAGGAGCATTAGGGTCGGAATGCGGTAGATCACCGTCAGCTTGAGAGTCATATTTTACTAAAAAAATCGTTGTTCTCAATGTTGTTCTCCTCACCGGACAACAAGATCAACGCCAACAGCCCAATTCCAAGGATCACCATCCAGCGGCAGGCATCGTTGCCTAATTTGCATAAACAGCATCAAATACCATGATCTTTTACCCTGTTTCTGGGCGCTGGCTGGATTCGCGGTCATCGTAGATAATGATGCCTTTTTGCGTTTCGCACATGCTAATTTGCCAAATTTATTGAATTATAGACGATGCAAATTGTCGGCAAATCTGAGTTACACCCCATTTTTCAGCCGGCTCCCACATTTTTATCTGGGCCCTCGATGCTACACGGCAGTAAGGTATACCAAAATATCCGCCTTATTCTATAGAGTACGAACCAAGTTTATTCAATAAAAAATAGGTGAAGGTGGAAAAGTAATTTATAAAGACATTTATCCGGCACATCCCCACGAAACAGTCACAGCGGCGCAGGTCAGGGGGTTGGGATAGGGTTAGTATCGGCGAGTATGATGGGGAAATTGTCTTCTTGGACGTGGAAGTCGATGCCGCCGGCTCAATGATAGTGGCGCCAGATGCGGCAGTCCGGCTTCGTCGGGTTCATCGTCGAGTTCAGCTGGCAAAGATAAGATCTCTCTCTCCGCCTCTCTCTCTCTTTCTCTCTCACTCTCGCCTGCCCCTACCTTGCACTTGAAGGCGTTGGCGAAGCTGTCAAAGCTCTTGAGCTTCTCGTTGATGCGAACGTTGCCAACCGGGTGCACGCTGAAATTGTGGTAATTTATATAATAGTATTTACATAATTTTCACGCCTATGACCAGCAGCTTCAAGCTACTGCAAAAAACTTGACCAACGCGACAATCCAGTGATATCGGAATTGTGCGTAGATGGTGGGCTGGCGACCACATTCCACCTGAAAATTAGGGTATCTTAAAGAGCGTCAGTACGTCGTAGCGGTACGCAGTTCAATGTGTAATCAGGAACTTTTCGAAAATAACAGAACCTGGGTATGGGCCAAGAAGAAGAGCTGATCGTTGGTGAACTCCTGAAGGCCAGGCAGCTTCGGGGGGTTGCGGCCGTAGAGCTTCTGGCGTTTCTCCTTGTAGGCCTAGAATAAATTTCTCTTAAAGGGCGCCAAAGTTCTACTATCGACCCCCTGATCTACTAGATCTAGACAGTTACGCAAGCTGCAAAACCCATGACCCACCCTCCAAGTCGCCCGTAACCCGTTGTTGTCGGCGATCGTCTCCTTGTGCTGTTTGAAACCATCGGCCTAAAGGACAAATTCTCCTTTCTCGATTTTCCGAAACCTGAATGGTGATATTGAGCCTTGGGTTTGAGTAGACGACGTTTCCAAACTGGTCCGTGAAGCACTGCTCTTTTTCCTTGTACTCGTCCGTGTCGTTGCCCACATTCCCCGGGGGCATGTCGGCTGAAGAAGGGGAATGTTTGACCCCTGTCTACGGTTTAGCAGCAAGCGCCACGGCATGCTGAAGACGTACAGACGTCATCAAATGTGTGCGTCAACTCGTGGCCAATGATCTCGCCGATGCCGCCGTAGTTGAACTCGAGCGGCCAGGCCGGATGGTAGAACGGAGGGGTGATGATGGCGAGGGGGATGACTGGAGATGAACAGTTTTTTAGCGGAAGCAAAACTCACTGATCTCCTCGTTGTTCCGGTTGAACGCGTTCAAGTCGAGGGCAGGCTCGTAGTTCAGATCACCGAGAAGGTCCTGAATTTGTGGTTTTCCGGTCGAAAAAACTAAGAAATTACGACAACAAATTCAAAAATTACGCTACCATTCTGTCGACAAACCAATTCGCTCGCTCCTCAAAGCGCATCATCGACATGTGGTTCCACTTCTCCGGGGTGGGCACCTAAAATTTCCGAAAGTTATTTCCAATTTCTTGCTCACCCAGTCATAAAATTTCTCGACGAGCTCCCGGTCGAGCGCGTGGGTGTTGTAGCCGTAGCGATGCTTGATGTCGTCGAACTGGGAGGTGGGTTTCAGGCAACGGAATACCGGGAAATTACCCTTTGTTTGAGCTTGGTCTTTGTCTCCGGCTCCAGCCACGTGTTCGCGTCAAAAATCTCGTGGAAGATGTGGCGCATCTCCTTGCCGATGTTCTGAAAATCGTCATGCTAGCGGATCGTAGCGGGTTGGCGTCATAGCAGGAGAGGAAAATCATTTTCGGTCAATTCGGATAAGCGGGGCATTTTAGGCGGGGGGACCGAACTTTTTCCGCCCAAGCCTATATTTTTAATAAATAGTGGAAGTGCTTCTAAATTGTTTATAGCTATTCCTAAACATAAAAACTTTACAAAACTTAATTAAAAAATTTAATTTTAGGTCGAAAAATCGTTTTTTTTTAGCCCAAAAATGACCAAATTTTCGACCTTTTCAGCGTTTTCTACTTTTTAAAGTTTTTCCGATTCAAATGGCTCAAATTTTGCTAAAAACATGTGATACCTTTATATTTTATTACTTCCCCACCAGGGCCGCAAAAGTTGGTTCCCCCGCCTACCCCCCCCCCGCTTATCCGGAGTGGAACCATTTTCTGTTGATGATACATTATGTATTTTTATAGTATTTTTAGTAGTTTTCGATTGCTAGAAAGCCCTAAAAAAATTTGAAATTTTGAAAATTCGAAAATTCTAACTTTTTTTGGTCATTTTCATACATGTTGGCAAAAGTCAAAGATTTTTCGAAAATTTTATTAATTTATGATATTGTTTTTATATCTAAAAACGATGTAAAAAACTATAAATGGTTTAGATTTGGGCCGTCGAGAATCCCAGGGAAAAGTTGGTACCCCGGTCAACCAACCCTAACGTCTTCGACGTCACTCGTCGACCTGATCGTCCCAAGGGCCAAGTGCTCGGTGAGTTTCGAGAAGTAGTGGAGCAGCTAAAAAACTAGACAGCATATTTTTCTGAAGTCTTTACTACCCTGCGCCGGCATCCAAGCCGCTCACGAGACACGTCTCGCTTCGACAGATGGCGCGCCCAGTTCAGGAACAAGAAATTCGGGAGGACATCGCGCGGGGCTTCTTGCAAAATCTTGGATAGCTGAAAAGCACTCAGGAAACTCAGAATTAATACCCCCAAAAACTGACCGCCTTGATGTCCTCCAGCGAGTTGACCTCGACCTCAGTTTCCTCCGTCGTCTCCGGCAAGTGCACGCCGATCAGGTACTTCCAGTCGTACTGTAGCACGGGATTTTCAGGCTCCAATTTTTTTCTGATACCGTCGGGGCGGCCCTGCGCAACTCGGAAATCGTCAGGTTGACCGGTTCGTGGCTTCGATCTTCGTACATCTGAAAGAAGGAAAACTTGACACGAAGCCTGAGTGAGCCTACCTGCACAAGTTGCCGATAAAACTTGATGAGCTCGTTGACCATCTGCTCGCGCCCGCTTTTGGCGATGTCGAAGCCCAGTTTTTCGACTGTTTTTAGCGCCTGAAGGGAGCGCAATCGTTCAAGCAAATGATTTTTCAAGACGCACCTCTTCGAGCTTGGAACGGAGGAGCGATTCGGTGAGCTTTTGAGTTTGCGGGAAAGGGAAGCCGAAGAGAACGCCCTCAGGTTCGTTGAACAGCACCTGTCAGTTTGTTATTATGAGCTTTAATAGAGCTCGGTGTTGCTAGAATGGACCCCCCTAAAACCGATGCTTCTGGACTGTTAGCGGGGGGGGGGGTTTAGCAGGGGAGAAAAACCACTTTCTGTTTCGCCACCTGTACCCATGATATAGATGTCTACCCATATGAATGAAATATGACGTATTTTTGGAGTTTTTTTTTTTGGCGCCGGGGGCCCCCCTTTCCTTTTTTTTTTTTTTTTTTTTTTTTTTTTTTTTTTTTTTTTTCTTTTTTTTTTTTTTTTTTTTTTTTTTTTTTTTTTTTTTTTTTTTTTTTTTCCCTTTTTTTTTTTTTTTTTTTTTTTTTTTTTTTTTTTTTTTTTTTTTTTTTTTTTTTTTTTTTTTTTTTTTTTTTTTTTTTTTTTTTTTTTTTTTTTTTTTTCCCCCCCCTTTTTTTTTTTTTTTTTTTTTTTTTTTTTTTTTTTTTTTTTTTTTTTTTTTTTTTTTTTTTTTTTTTTTTTTTTTTTTTTTTTTTTTTTCCAAAAAAAAAAACCCCACCCCCCCCCCCCCCCCCCCCCCAAATTTTCCCCCCCCCGGGGGCCCCTTTTCAGTAGTTCTTGATTGATAAAAAGTCATAAAAATTTTTCTAAAACTTTGTAAACTTTTTTTAGGTATTTTCTTTGACTAAAAGTCCAATATTTCGAGAAGTTGTGCTATTTTTTATCCTGTTTTTAGATCTAAAACAATTTGATTTTTTTAAGCCATGGAAATTGCTATAAAAATGGTTAATATTTCGTTATAGGGCCGTAGAGGACCACAAGGAAAAATCTGCTTTCCCCCGCTCAGAGCCTGCCCCTCCGCTGACAGCCCAGAACCGAATTGGGTAGCTGTTCAGAGCCAGTCATTGGGAGAGGTCGATTATCAGGCCTTCAATCTCTCCATAGCCGTTTTACCGTCAGTACCGGTTCTTGTTCATTAGCGGGGTGGCTCGGGGAAGGCCACGCCCACTCCTACCCCGAATTACCTTATAAGTTCCCGCCACAGAAGCCCGAATCCCGATCAGCCCGTTCTCCGAGCCTTTGTCTCGAGAGTTGTATTCATAGCTGTAGAGGACCGTGTGGACGACCAACTCGGTGAAGCTCGGGTTCACCTACAGGGATAAGAAAGATTTTGGAAACTCGAATCACCGTCATCTCCGGACCACGCTTCTGACCGATGAGGGGGATGTCACCGAGAGTTTTCACAAATTCGTGAAGATCGGCCTGGAAGGTGTCACTGCTGAGGGATTTGCAGGTCTCGTAGAATGAGCGGGCCTTTTCGACGGCTCGCATGCCGGATTTGTCGTTGAGGATCAGCTCTGGAAGGCGAGATCAGGATTCAAGGCGTTTTAAAGGTTTGTGAAATGTTTGCCTTGAGACTTCGCCGCAACCGTGGAGCTCAACGCGATACGCGACGCGCTGCACCACGCAATTGGATACGCGACGCGACACGTGATGGAACACGCCACGCGGCACAACGCGCGACGCGCAACGAGACACGCAACGAAACGCAACGCAACGCCACACGCAACGCCCCACGCATAGCGCGATTCAACACGACACGCAACGCGACATGTAACGCACGCAAGCCGCGAGGTCGTTGAGACAAGTGCCGCGACGCGCCAAGGCCACATGCAACGCTACGCAAGATACGACGCGGCACGCAACGCGACAAGCACAGCGGCAGCTTGTTTTTCACACGAAAAAATTGTAACCCGAAAGCCTACCAAGAAGCTGTTGCGACATCTTTTCCTCCTGCTCGCTCCAGAACGCGCCCTGGTGCTTCTGAAAAACAACGATGGGATTTTAAGGCCAGGTCACCTCGTTATACTTCCCGCAAGCGTACTCGTGGAAATCCTCGCACGGATCGATGGCCGGGTTCATGTTTTGGATCTGAACAAATCCCACAAAAAAAAGGTTAGGGGGCGGGGGCCCCCCCCCCCCCCCCCCCCCCCCCCCCCGCTTTCCGGCCCCCCCCCCTTTTCCTTAAAAGGGGGAAAAAAAAACAAAAGGGGGCGCCCGGCTCAGGGGGGCCTTTTGGCTACCCCCCCCCCCCCCCGAAAAAAAAGGGGGGGCGCGGGACCCGGGGGGGGGGGGCCGGGGGGGGGGGGGGGGGGGGCGGGGTAAACTGCACTTAAGCCTAAAAATAAGCTCCTACAATTAGGCTGGCCGCTTCGGTGCATCCCTTTGTCGTGCACAGGCTGTCTTTCTAAAAATCAGAAAAATCTTGCAAAATCGCGCTAGGCGATACCGAGCTCGGATCAATTTTTGGAGGAGCACGAGGATCGGAATACGATAGATCATCGCCGACTTGGGAGCCGTATTTCACTAAATGAAACATAGTTTTCGATGTTGTCCCCCTCACCGGACAACAAGATCAACGCCAACAGCCCAATTCCAAGGATCACCATCCAGCGGCAGGCATCGTTGCCTAATTTGCAAAAATGGATAAGCTTCCACCGTGATAGCTTACCCTGTTTCTGGGCGGTGGCCGATTGAGGAGCCATCGCAGATGAATGAATAACGCAGGTACGCGTTTTTTCTTTTAGTGGTATCAAGAATGTAAATTTTTGTGTTGTATGTTAATTATTTGATGCTACCTTATATAATTTTGGGGGTGTATCTCTGTGTGTGTGTGGATGTCATTTTCGAAGTCCGATTTGAGAGCATTCCGTGTCCGAAACGGCCCAATAATTCGTCACTTCGGGGAATCGACCCTCCTCTTTCCGGTGACGTCTTCAGAATTTCGATAAAATGCAAATTTACAAAGTTAAAGCCGGTTTTATTCATGTTTGGGTTCCAGGAGGGCTCATTTGCGTAACGTGAAAAAATAAAAATCTAGCCCCCCCCCGCGCCAGGGGAAGCCATCAAATCTACTGTCGAGAAAATAGATCACATAGGTAATGAAGCTGTTTATAGCGTCTTAGTCAGTAATTTTATTGCTAAAAAGGTACATAAAATTCTTAACAAATTTGACCCTCTTTGGCCATTTTTCATACATTTTTGATCAAAAAGCCAATATTTTCCGTAAATTTTTATAATTCTGATGAATTTTTGTACCGCATTCCGCTATAGAATCTCGGCGGTTCCATTTTCTCCAATCACCCCAGGGGAGGAGTTCTCTTAGAGCAAATTTTTGCTCTTGGAAAAAATTTGTGGGGTTTATTACAGGAAATTCGCTTTCTAAAAACTGCAAAATGATACAAAATGGTCGTGATGGAACCATACGGTTCTATAATGTCAATAAACTTGGTTAAGCCTGCTTTTCGCTGTCTTCAGTGGGTGGGCGTCCAGGGTGGGTGGGGGGTGGGGGTGGGGGTGGGGTGGTCGCCGATTTTTAAATATTTCAATTCCCTGCAAAAATCGATTGCTTCGCTAGCGATCTAGCGATTTAGCAAAAATATTTATTGCGTTTGTGCAAAAATTCCAAGGCACATAGAGACACAGAAAACTACATGCAAAATCGTGAGGATAATCTGGTCTCGTTGCGCAACGTAGTCTTTCAGTGGTAGTAGCGCCAGACCCTGCACTTCTTCTCCGGGTTCATCGTCGAGTTCAACTGAAAAAGAGGTGATTTCGCGCGCGCTCTCTCTCTCCCTCTCTTGCTTTGGTAAGAGTCTAGAAAACCCCAGCCGGCACCAACTTTTGTATCTCGGCCCCCCTTTGTGCTAGCGAGCTCTAAAGTATACCAAAATGTTCGCCTTAGGTTAATTAGTAAGACTACATTACAGTTCAGTCGAAAAAAGTAGCGAAAAATAAAAATAAGGAAGGTAGAAAAGTTGAAAAGTCGGCTGGGGGGGGGGTTTCCTAGACTTGAGCCCTTGCTTTCTCTCTCTTCGTCTCCCTCACTCGACCATACCTTGCACTTAAACGCCGTTGCGAACGCGTTGAAGTTCTTCAGCTTTTCGTTGACGCGTACGCTGCCGATTGGGTGCTCACTAAAATTTTGAGCCACGAAATTCAAGGCCAAAACAAACTCATGAAGCCAACTGAGCTCCTTGCGGTTTTGATTGGGGTAGATGGTAGGCGTTCTTCCGCATTCCGGCTGCAGAGAACCTGATTAAGTTTTGCTGAAAATTTACCTGGGTTTGGGCCAAGAAGAAGAGTTGATCGTTGGTGAATTCTTGAAGTCCAGGAAGTTTCGGGGGGTTGCGGCCGTAGAGCTGTTTACGTTTTTCGAGGTAAGCCTGCAAGGGTAGATCAGAAAGCTAGAGTGAGAGAAAGCGAGAGTGAGAGTGAGGGAGCGAGAGAGTGAGAGAGGGCGAGAGAGAGTGAGCGAGAGTGGAGAGAATAAACCCTACCCTCCAAGCCACCCGAATCCCGTTGCTGTCGGCAATCGTCTCCTTGTGCTGAAGCTTGCCGTTGCCCTAAATTTCCGGCGTCCAGAAGATGATCTTCTCCCTAGCCACCTGAATGCTGATGTTGAACCGCGGATTTCCGTAAGTGACGCCTCCGAACTGATCGACAAAGCATTTCTCCTTCTCTCGATACTCCTTCGTGTCGTTTCCCACATTCCCCTTTGGCAGGGCGGCTGGAACAAGTGGGGCTAAATGGTCCTCAAATGCCTTACATCGATCGTCGAATGTATGCGTGAATTCGTGGCCGATGATCTGCCCAATGCCACCGTAGTTGAACTCGAGTGGCCACGTCGGGTCGTAGAACGGGGTGGTGATGATGCCGATGGGGATGACTAAATGGACGATTTTTCACGAAGAAAACTTGTGATATCGCCATACCACAAAGGAACTTACCGATTGCTCTGTCGGCCAAATTCACGGCGTTGATGCGCAGCGGATCAGTGACGAGATCACCGAATAGATGCTAGGATTCGTTGGTCCAGGTTGGAACAGAATAGGCTACAAATTCCGATGCGACCCAGCTGGCGCGGTCTTCAAATTGCAGAAAGGTGACGGCGTTCCATTCTTGAGGCATTGGGATCTGAACTGATTCGCTTAAAGTATGACCAGGGTTGAAAAGCCGCTTCGCCTCTTTTCAACCCTGGCCCCCGTCTAGCGTCATAATATGCTTCATTTTGCATAATTCTCGCGAATTCCGATTACAAAAAATGAAAATCTCCCCCTCCGCCCATTGTATAGGCTCGCGCCATTTCCGGCATATACTAATTGATTCCTAACAAAGTGGGTGCTCCATTTTCTAACAAAAACTTGATTTTAACGTCGAAAATAGCATAATTTGCAAAATCTGATGTGTGTGCAGGCATCTCAGCGCCATTACGCACCTAATGACGTATCATACGTTGCTTAAAACCCTTTCCCTCTCGAGATATCCTCCGGACACCCTGACGGAAGTTGCATGCAAAGTGGCACACACACACAAACACACAGACACTATTTTTTATATATAGTAGGATTTAGTGTTTTTTAACTATATGTTACGTACAAAACCGTTTCACAAAAAAAGGTAATGCCTGAAAAGTCGAAACTTTGGTCATTTTAGGTCGAAAAAACATGATTTTCCCCTAAAATAAATTTTTTGATTAAAAATTTGTATGGTTGTTGTGTTTAGAAATGGCTTAAAATTTTTCTAGATCCAGATTATTACCTAAAAAAAGCGAAAACAAAAACCTAAAACTTTGGTCGAAAAAAGCTTGCCCCCTGCCCCAAAAAGGCTCACCATCTCGTAAAATTCGTCGATTTTCTGCCTGTCGAGGGCGTGCTTATTGTAGCCGTAGCGCTCCTGCACGTCATTGAGCTGGAATTAAAAAAACTAAAACGAAAAACCTTTCGATACCCTCTGCTTGAGCTTGGCCTTCGTTTCCGGGGCCAGCCACGTGTTCTCATCAAAAATTTGGTGGAAGACGCGGCGCATCTCCTTACCGAGGTTCTGAATTAGTTTCAGAGAATACCAATTACAAAATTTATTTAAATAATAAGATTTAATACAAGTTTCGGTAACCGTCGGTCTATAAGTTTGAACCCACCCTAACGTCTTCGACATGACTCTTTGATCGGATCGTGTCGAGGGCCAGGTGCTCCGAAAGTGTCTTGAAGTAGTCGAGTAGCTAAAGGAAGTGGCTTTCCAAAAGGCTAACATAATTTTGTCTAATTAGCATTTTACTTCAAAAATCCATAAAACCTAGATGTTTCGAGCACAAAATGGTCAATTTTTCACGAAAATTTGAAATTTTGAAAAGT